CTAAGGCACCTTCGAGAGCGGCCCTGGGGGGCCCCAAAGGGGGCACTTAAGGCGGGGCTTATTCCCGAAAGAAGCCCCGGAGAAGGGCCCAGGGGCCCCCTCAAAGGAAGAGGCCCCAACGGGGTACCCAGGGGGGCCCCCCGGGGGGCCCCCGGGGGGCCCCCCTCTACGCCAAGGCCTCCCTTTGGGGGGCCCCTGCGGCAGCTAGAAGGGGCCCATGCCGCCTTGCTGGAAGCGGGCCAGGCCCTTTCAAGTGACCAGGTTGGCGCAGCAGCTGCTGCTCCTGCTGCTGCTGCTGCTGCTGCTGCTGCTGCTGCTGCTGAGCTCGCTGCTGCTGCTGCTGCTGCTGCTGCGGAGGCGCTGCCGACGGGGGCCCCGCAGCGCGCAGCTGCTGCAGTTTTGTGGAATTGGAAAGTTTTTGGAAAAGAAGAAAATTTTTTATTTTTGAGGTTCAAAAGATGGAGAGTATGTACACCGCAGTTGGCTCTTGGGCAGCAGCGGCGCAGCAGCGAGTCCATCATCTTGCTGCTGGCATGCAGCAGCAAGAAATGAGAATTAAAATAAAAAAAAAGAAATTAATTTATTTTTAAACTCATTTAAATACTTTTGAGAGCTCCAAAGAGCACAGAAGCAGCAGCACCGGCGCTTGGGGCCCCTCCGGGGCCTCTCGGCAGCAGGGGGGCCCCCGAGGCTGCGGAGGGAACAGGAGCTTTAATTTTAATTCTTTTTCGTTCCTTAATTAAATAAATGAAATTCATTTATTTAAAAACTAAAAAATGCAAATTCAACAAGCAGAAGGCGCGGCAGCAGCTTCATTTCCAACTGAAGGGCGTGGGGTGTATGTACAGGTACAGGTACACACCTACTGTCTGCATCCTTGCAGAAAATTGCATTTATGTGCATTATAAATGTGCAAAAATGCGTGTTTTGCTTTTAAATATTATAAATGTTTGAAAATATGCAAACTTGTGCATGTTTTAAACTCTAAATCTGCACATGTACATGCATTTATATGTGTACAGACACTCCAAAGATTAGTATCTGTTGTAGATACGCTTGTTCATGCGTGAATGTATAACGCATAAGCATGCAAAAGTTCACACAAATAAAAAGAAATAAAACAAATATGAATAAATATATATTATTTATGTTTGTACTGGAGGGACGGCGAGCTTCGTTCCTTGCTGCTGCTGTTGCTGCTGTTGTTGCTGCTGCTGCTATTGCTGCTGCTGTTGCTGCTGCTGCTGCTCATGGCATTAAGGCGTGGGCAGATGCTGCCTAAGGCGACGCCAGCTCAAAGAGGCGATAGTAGCTAGCTGCAGCTAGCTGCAGCTAGCTGCTGCTAGCTGCTGTGGCTAGCTGCAGCAGCTGTGGCTTGCTGCTGCGGCTAGCTGCAGCTAGCTGCTGCAGCTGGCTGCTGCGGCTAGCTGGAGGAGCCGCATTGCTAGGGGCTTCCTGCAGCGGCGTAGACTCCAAACCCTAAACCCTAAACCCTAAACCCTAAACCCTAGAGCCCGGAGCAGATATCGGGGAAGCGCCTTGAGGGTGCAGCTTCTCTCCACTGCCGCCCCAAACCCTAAACCCTAAACCCTAAACCCTAAACCCTAAGCTGTATATATTGTGTAGGATTTGGTGTGCAGTTACTCTATTCTCTCGATTTGGGTGTATATACACTCCGCAATTTGTCTTTTTTCTCCCATAAAAGGCTTTTAGCAGCACAAAGACTTAAAAAATAAATTTTATGAAATCAATTTAAATGCATTGCATGCAAGGTGTACATACACCCCACAGCATGCACAGGTGTAGAGCTGTACATACACCGCATACACCCTCTGCTGCTGTTGCTGCTGCGTTTGCTGCGATTGTTGCTGCTGCTGCTGCACTTGGGTCTCTCCAAGCTGCTGCTGCTTCTCGTGCTGCTGCTGCTGCTGCTGCTGCTGCTGCTGCTGCTGCTGCTGCTATCTCTCTATCGCTTTGTTATGTGGAGAAGACAGCTGCTGGGGTGTACGTACTGCAGCTCGGGGCCCCGCTGTCGCTACACCGCAGGGGCACAAACAGAACTTGAGGGGAATTGGGCCGACAGTTGCAATTAAATAAATAAATAAAACAAATGAATTAATTGAATTAATTGAATTAATTGAATTAATTGAATTAATGGAATTAATCGAATTAATTGAATTAATTGAATTAATTTGCAATTGAAAAGGCCCAAAAATCGCTTTAATTGCATGCAGCTGCATGCGCAGGAGGAGAAAATCTAAGCAGCAGCAAAAGGAATTGCATTATTGAATTGAAATAAACTTTATGAAATAAACTTTATGAAATAAACTTATTGAAATAAACTTATTGATATAAACTCATTGAAATAAAGATATTGAAATAAACTTACTGAAATAAACTCATTGAAATAAACTCATTGAAATAAACTTATTGAAATAAACTCATTGAAATAAACTTATTGAAATAAACTCATTGAAATAAAATTATTGAAATAAACTTATTGAATAAACTTATTGAAATAAACTTATTGAATAAAATTAATTATTGAAAACAAACAGCAAAGATTTGCTTTTAAGTTCCTTCTTTGGCTTTGCAGCTGGCTGGTTGGCTGTACACCTGCTGTTTTCAACACAACAATAACAACAACAACATTAATAATAATAAATAATAATAATAAATAATAATAAATAATAATAAATAAATGAGATTTATATATATTGGATTTATAATTCTATTTATTAGTCCCTGGTAACAAACCCTAAAAAAGGGTTTTTGCTTTCTCAGCAGCAGCCTCGGGCCGGCCCGTAGGCGCGCGCTGTCTGTCTGTACACTCGGCGAGCAGCAGCAGCAGCCACCGCCACCGCTGCTGCTGCTGCTGCTGCTGCAGCGCGTGCAGCAGCTACTATTTCCGGAGCCCCCGGACTAGGCGGCCCGCAGCCCGTGCTGCTGCTGCTGCTGCTGCTGCTGCTGCTGCTGCTGCGTTTGCAGCAGCAGCAGCTCACTAAAAAGCGGAAGAGTTCCCGCAGCAGCTACCCCCTCTCCTCC